GGCTGAGACATGCTGGCAGCCTACCCTACCCCATGAGATACTATATTCCTTGACTGGGAGCCGAGGGAAGAGGAGGAGCACTGTCTTGTTGGCCACACCTGCCCAGAATGGAGCTTCAGTCTCATTGAGCTGGGGATGGAGGAAAGAGGAAGCCAGTTGTACCTCAAGTACCAAAGACTCTTGCTGTTCTTACTGAAAATTAGTAGATTGCTTGAGCAAATGTCTCGTCATTCTGAATGTTCTGAGGATAGTTTCCAAAGACTTTAAACATTTGGGGGGACTGTAATTTTAAATAATAATTTTCATCTGTTACAGTTGTTTCTCTGGGTATTGGGACTGTGGGGGTTTCTTATGCCACTGTTCCAGAAAAGGGACTCCTAAGCGTATGATATTGGTTTCTTTATATATAACCTCCTGGATTTAAAGTGATACAAACTGGCAGATCCTGATGTACATTTTCTCTTTAAATAAAGGAAAGGGAGATGTTCCAGGAGACAACTGGGTATCTGCTCCCTATGTGAGTTGAGGGAATGAGTTGCAGAACCTGCTGAAATAGGAGATCGTAGGGCTCTGTATTGATTTGAGTAGCCCAGCAGAGGAGAAATTCAATTAAAAAAATTGATTTTCAAAATAATCCATCTTCTGTGCAATATTGTCGTCAGTCCTCCTTTTCAAAACAGACCAAGTTTTTAAGATTTCTAAATTTATTCCTAATGAGGTTAATATTAACCATATTCCATTTTATTTACATTACAGGAACTATGACATTTTAGCAGGACTACCTAAGGCCAATTTAACTTAAGGGGAAAATATTATTTTGAGATCATATTCAATTTGATTTAATTCATTATTTAATTCTCTCAACAACCCATCAGGTTTTTTTATACATAATTTACAGATGAGGAAACTGAAGTCTAAAGACGTTAAATAACTTAAATATTTGAGTTCACCCAACTTCCAAAGGATGGATCCAAGCTTTGAATCCAGATAGTCTTACTTCCTTTATATACAACTTTCATTAGTAGGTTTTCTATTACATACTGAGCAATTTATATATATATATATATGTATGTATCTGTGTGTATATATAATATTTGGTTATATAAAAAGGACACTTGGAATGAATCTCTTCTTACTCTAACTAAAAGCCTTCTTAGCTGGTGCTCTCTTGGGCATAAGGGAAAATGGCAGTCATTTTAACAGTCAGCTCTCCCTATCCTGTGTCAGGAGTTGCATGGATAATCCAAAACCCTGAATTTCCCATAAAATTTTATTTTTGGTTGTGGAATGCAGTTAGTGATATATGCTCAGTCAGACATAAACATAATCTTGTGTTCTTTCCTAAAACTTCACATACTCATAACCTGGCTGGGAGTAAGATAGAGAAGTCAGTGGTGAAACTAGGAGATTAGTCAAATGAATGAAGTTTCCTCTTTCCAGATTAAATTAAATTAGTGAACTAGTCCAAGTTAGTTTTGATAGTTTCTGGGATTATTTTGCTCAGGTCGATGATATCAGAGACTTTTCCTTTTAATTTGAAAACAGCAGTGATTTTACCGTATCTGCTTGTCTCACTTTTTTTTCTCAGCACAGTGCCTGGCACTAGGGAGGGACTCAGGGAAGTTTTGGAGGGAGGGATGGATGGATGGAAGGAAGGAGGGAGGGAGAGAGGAAAGGAGGGAGGAAGGAAAAAGCATGTATTGGCCAGTGATCTGTCTGGGGAGCTCAAAAAAACCCTTGACTCGTAATCAGGAGAGCTGAATTGAAATAGCACCTCTGTCCCTAATTTGCTGTGACCTCAAGTACATCATTTTTATTTAGGAGCTTCTGGGTTTTTTGTTTTGTTTTGGTTTTTGTCTGTACAATAGGAATAACTGACTTGGAAGATTAAATACAATAATATGTATGAAAATGCCTAGCAATGGGTTCTCAACAATAGTTTGGTGAGTCTGAATATAATTGCAACCAGTCTACTCTTGACCATCTGTTCTAAATTAAGCATAGCATCATTGAAAATACCAAACAACCAGTAATCTTTCTAGGGTAATTGTACTTTATTTAGGAAATCAAGGGTTTTTTCCCTTAAATAGATTATGTTTTGCTTGTAATTATGTTTCACTTGGGCTAATGTTAACTTTTTATGTCTTTTTATGCTGTACCCAAAATGCTAATTGGGAGTGGCCAACACCAGGACAATTAGCCTATAATGGCATATTTTACATGTTTTATGCCACAAATTTGATAGAACATTTCATGATTTTGAAACATTTAACTTATGATATTTTTTGTTGCTCTTTATTTGCAGAGTATCACTACACAGTCAACAAAATCTCATGACTGTCTCAAATCTTGGTGTCATATTTGGCCCAACTTTAATGAGAGCACAGGAAGAAACTGTGGCTGCCATGATGAATATTAAATTTCAGAATATTGTGGTAGAAATTCTGATAGAGCACTATGAAAAGGTAGGCTGAATTTTCACATGGAAGCATCAAGTTTTGTATCTTGCATTTAAGAAGGCGTTTTGCATTTATATAACATCATCTGTGAGCTTTACACTGTGATCTTATATTCCTTCATTCCTATAAAATGTTAATCTGTTTTTACATAAATTACTTCTTCATGGAGACTTCAATTTTCTTTTTTGTTCAGTTTTAACGGCCTTTCAAAATCCTTCAG